TATGTGTATTAGTCAAAGCTTACTCTTTAGAAAGTGAATGATTACCTTTGCTCATTCAACTGTCTTAGTGGCAGTACATCCGTGTGTTTACTTTACAAGTGATTATTGAACACCTGCTATGTGCCCAACGCTGTTCTAACTGAGTGATCCTCAGGAGCTTACGTCCTCACTGGAGGGGAAAGAGAATAAGCAATGTGAGGAAGCCCTTAGGATGTCAGCGGATGATCAATACCACGGAGAAAAATGAAGCAGGAGGGTCAGGTTAGGACAGGGAACCCACTCTCGTGGTGAAGTGGCCAGGTAAGAACTTACTAAGAAGGCAACATCTGAGCCAAGACTTGAAGGAGGTAAGGAAGCAGGTTATGGAGCCATGTGGGAGGAGCGGTCCCAGCAAGAGGGAACCTGGGAGCCTGTCTGGTGTGTCCAAAGAACAGCAGAGCCTGGGCAGCCTGGAGGAAGGAAGCAATGGAGACAGCAACAAGAGATGAGGCCAGGGAACCAGAGAGGAAGGAGGGGGCTGCAGGCAGAGCAGAGCCCTGTAAGATGGGTGACCATCTAGGAGACATCCAAACTGAGGATTTTAGAGCAGAAGGTGGGGTGGGGATATTGATAATTCCCTTAGACCGCCATCTGTGCCCGATTGGTGTACTGATGATTTCCAGCTGACATCATCTGAGGACCAGTCACTGCAGAAACGGCCATGTGGCCTGTCTTGTGCTGCATGCAGTAAGCCACAGGTTCTCTTGGGAGGGGAGTCTTGCCCATGACACTGCAGACTAGTAGCCTTCATCACCAGAGTCTGCAAGTTGGGGCTGTAATGAACCTCAGTAGGGAATTCATTGGAGAGACCCTAACTTTTACACCCCACCCCACATATCTCCTGGTGACAGCCCTAGGATTTACCCTGGTCCAGAGAGCCACTTGTCAATCCTACACGAATGTATTGTTCCTGCCCTAAAAAGGTGTCAAATGTCTTGCTTTGGTCCTTTCTTCAGGCACCACTCTCTTGTGCAGATCCCTGTGTACCTGCACATTTGGCAAGAGGTGTGCTCTTCCTTTGTGCGTCAGCCTGGTGTTGTTTTGTTCCTGGATCCATCCAGAGACCCTCATGAGAGCTAACTGGGAAACGGGAGCCCCTCCTCCTGACAAGTTCAGCACATGGCCATCAGCACTGCCTTGCCCTGGTGGGGACCTGTAGTCCTCCAACTCATCGCATGCAAGGATTCAGGCTTTCTTTATTTTTAAATCTTACTTATTTTTGTTTGAGAGAGAGATAGAGACAGAGAGAGAGGATTCTCCCACTATGTGGTTCACTCGCCAAATGCCTCCAACAGATGGGACTGGGTCAGGCAGAAGCCAGGAGCCAGGGGCGCTCATTTCCAGCCTCCCACATGGGTTAGGGAGCGAACTACTTGAGCCATCACCTACTGCTTCCTAGGGCATTAGCAGAAAGCTGGAATCATAATTGGAGCTAGGACTTGAACCCAGGAACTCTGACGTGAGATGTGGTTATTCGGATTTTTTTTTGACAACTGTGCCAAATGCCCACTCTTTTTTATTTTTTAATTAAGAAACTTTGGGGACAAGCACTATGGTGCAGCTAGGTAACCACCGCCTGCAGTGCCATTGCACCATATGGGCACCAGTTAGTGTTCCGTCTGTTCCACCTCCGATCTAGCTCCCTGCTAATGCACCTGGCAAAGCAGCAGAAGATGGCTTGAGTGGCTGGCCCCTGCACCCACATGGGAGACTCCAAAGAAGCTTCTGGTCCTTGGCTTTGGCCTGGCCCAGCCCAGGTTGTTGCAGCCATTTGGGAAGTGAACCAGCAGATAGGAGATCTTTCTCTCTGTCTCTCCCTCTCTCTATAACGCTGCCTTTCAAATAAATAAATAAATCTTTAAAAAATTTCCCATTTTATTTGAAATGCAGGAAGACAGATGGGAAGACATTTGCCATCTGCTGATTCACTCTCTAAATATCTGCGCGGCTGGCGCCGTGGTGCACTAGGTTAATCCTCCGCCTGATGTGGCGCCGGCATCCCATATGGGCACCGGGTTCTAGTCCCGGTTGCTCCTCTTCCAGTCCAGCTCTCTGCTGTGGCCTGGGAGTGCAGTGGAGGATGGCCCAAGTGCTTGGGCCCCTGTACCCACGTGGGAGACTGGGAAGAAGCACTTGGCTCCTGGCTTCGGATCGGCACAGCTCCAGTCATTGTGGCCATTTGGGGAGTGAACCAACAGAGGGAAGACATTTCTCTCTGTCTCTCTCTCTCTGTCTGTAACTCTACCTGTCAAATAAATAAATAAAATCTTTTTAAAAATAAAATAAAATAAATATCTGCAACTGCCAGCACTCGGTCAGGCCAACGCCAGGAGTCTTGAACTCCATCCAAATCTCCTACATGGATGGCAGAGACCTAGATACGTTGAGGCATCATCTGCTGCTTCCCAGACTGTGACGGCAGGAAGCTGGATCAGAAGTGGAGGAGTTAGGACTCGAACCAGGCACTCCACTAGGGGATGCAGGCATCCCAAACCATGTCTTAACTGCGCCACAAAACACCTGCCTCATTTGGCCTTTCTACAAATTTGGCTAAGATGGTAAGCCATCTTATTTTTTTTCTTTTTTTAAAGTTTTTAACTTACAACATTTTATTTGAGAGGCAGAAAGAGAGAGAGACAGGCAGACAGCAAGAGCTACCATCTACTGGTTCACTCCCCAAATACCCACAATGGCCAGGATTGGACTGAGCTAAAGCCAGGAATGAGTTCAGGACTCAACCCACGTCTCCCACATAGACGGCAGGAACCCAACTGCTTGAGCCATCAACACTGGCTCCCAAGGTGCTCATTGGCAAGAACCTGACAGTAGAAGCCTGCCAGAAACTGGATGCAGGTCCTGCAACATGGGACATGGACACGTTAACCGCTCAGCTGAACACCTGTGCCTCTTCTGGAGTGTTGAGCAGCAAGGTGGCGTGATCTGACTGAACTCACCCTGCCGGCTATGCTGACAGGGGACCGAAGGGGAGCAGGAACTGAGCGAAGGAGGCGGGGCCCAGTTGGGAAGCTAACAGATGTCATGCAAGATTCTGGGTATGTTGAAAGTATGACCAAAGACTCTCGACAGGTTGGATGTGGGTCGTGAGAGAAAGAGCAGCCAGAACCATGGCGGTGCCACCTCACTTCCTGGGGTGAGGGGGCCTTCTGAGGAGCAGCTGTGGTGGGACACAAGGAGCACATGGTGAATTTGGATGTGCCAAGTGTGAGGTGCTCATTACGCACACTAATGAGGATATCCAGTGGCAGCTGGTATGTGAGCCTGGAGTTAAACTCTCTTGTCGTTGTCAGTGTAGAGACACTTAAAGCCATGAACGTGGGTATTTTTTGTTTGTTTGTTTTATAGAGGGAGAGGATCAAAGACTAAGTTCTGAGAAGTCCAGTGATGGACAGTAGGAGAGGTAAAGAAAGAGCCAGCAAAGCAGATGGCGAAGGAGCAGCCAGCAAAGGAAGAAGAAAACCAAGCAAGTGTGGTGTCCTCAGATGTGTTTCGGGGAGAAAGAGACGAGGCTAAAGGCCTTGAAAGGTCAGGTACAGTGAAGACTACGGACTGCCTTTTTCTTTTTCTTTTTTTAAGATTTATTTATTTATTTGAAAGGCAGAGTTACACAGAGGCAGAGGCAGAGACAGAGAGAGAGAGGTCTTCCATACGCTGGTTCACTCCCCAAATGGTCGCAGTCACCAGAACTGGGCTGATCTGAAGCCAGAAGCCAGCTTCTTCTGGGTCTCCCACGTGGGTGCAGGGGCCCAAGCACTTGGGCCATCTTCTACTGCTTTCCCAGGCTATAAGCAGGGAGCTGGATCAGAAGTGGAGCAGCCAGGACTGAAACCCCTGCCTATATGGGATGCTGCTGCCCCAGGTGATGGCTGCTACGCCACAGTGCCAGCCGCACAGACTGGCTCTTGAATTTAGAAATGTGAGGTCACTGGGGACCTTGGTAGAACTGTTGTGGTGAAAGTGGGAGCTAAAGCTTAACTGTAGCAGGTTCAAGAGAAAACTGAAGGGAAATCTGAGTAGCAAGCCCACAGCAACCTTTTGAGTTTTGTGCAAAGGGACAGGGAGGGATGAGGCAGTCATGGGGTCCATCACGTGCTGTGTGTGGAAGGTCCAGCAGAGACGGGGCAATGGACCTTAGGATTCAGAATTCCTGGACCAGTTGTCCTCGGGTGGAGGAGGGGTTTGGGGAGGGAGGCGGGGGCCTGTTTATGCCGAGTGGGAGGAGAAAACAGCTGCAGCTGTTCAGGCTGGCGGCTCCTGCTGGTGGAGCTGAAGAAATGAACATCTAGACGGCAACACAGAAGGCTGTTTGGAAAGAATGTGCTCCCAAGATCTCTGATAGCGACAGTTCCAATCCTGGGGCTTCTGCTGACTTTCGACTGTCTGGAGAGACCTACTGTTACCCATCACTCCTCAAGATAGCCCCCAGCTACCAGTCACGGATGACCTAACGTCTGGGCAGGCCCTCAGCACCAATCTAAATCCACGCAGAACAACTGTGTAACTCACAGGGCCAACTGAAGATTCTTGCACACATGTTGTTCACCTTACTCCAGTGTCCCTGCTTTTCCCTTGAAAAACCCAGTCCTTCTGTCCCTTCCTAGAGGGAACACCTGTTTGATTCCTGACCCTGTGTCTCCTGATTTATAAATCCATTCTGCCAGCTCTCTGCTGTGGCCAGGGAGTGCAGTGGATGATGGCCCAAGTACTTGGGCCCTGCACCCCATGGGAGACCAGGAGAAGCACCTGGCTCCTGCCATTGATCAGATCAGCGCGGTGCGCCGGCCGCAGCGCTCTGACCGCGGTAGCCATTGGAAGGTGAACCAACGGCAAAAGGAAGACCTTTCTCTCTGTCTTTCTCTCACTGTCCACTCTGCCTGTCAAAAAATAAAAAAATAAATCCATTCTGTATCCAAATCAAAACCACCTTTGCTTTTAAAAAAAAAAAGATTTTATTTGTTTATTTGAGAGGTAGAATTACAGACAGTGAGAGGGAGAGACAGAGAGAAAGGTCTTCCATCCGATGGTTCACTCCCCAAAAGGCCGCAATGGCCAGAGCTTCGCCGATCAGAAGCCAGGAGCCAGGAGCTTCCTCCAGGTCTCCCATGTGGATGCAGGGCCCAAGGACTTGGGCCATCTTCCACTGCTTTCCCAGGCCATAGTAGAGAGCTGGATGGAAAGAGGAGCAGCTGGGACTAGAACTGGGATGCTGGTGCCACAGGCGGAGGATTAACCTTCTGCGCCATAACACCAGCCCCATCTTTGCTTTTATTTCAACCTCATTTATGATTTCTTGTGTTAGAAATTTTCTAGGTGAAACAGTAAGCAAAGGGTCAGCTGATCAAGTACAGAGGTCGGCACTCCACAGGGCAAGCAGTCATGGGGGACGGGGATTGGGCCAGGGCAGCAAGGTCCTCTGGAAGGTCCTGAGAATAAATTTGCTTATTTCTACCAGGGATATTTAGCTGTCAGATGCCAGTGAGCAGTATCAGAGAGGATTGAACTAGCATTATTGTTTGCCCAAAAGAGTAAGATGGATTAACAGGCAAGAAAACTGGCTGTAATGATTAAGCCTGGATTTAAGCTGGATAAGAGGAGAAGTGAGGGTGTGAGCAAGGGACAGAGAAGACAGCTAAATCCGCATGAGGCATGGCAGTAAGCATGTGCGTGATCCTGTGAAATCCTCACCCCAGGCGCCGAAATTGTCCCCAGCTCGCCTGGGAAAGACTATGGCTTCCTCAAGGCCACAGAGCTGGTAAGTGAAGACCCAAGGTCGGGCCCAGGCACACTTGTCTCCTAAGGCTCTGTACTCAGCCCTCTTGCCATTTGCTTTAGTTGGAATATTAATGTGCATTTAAAAATTGATGCATAAATAGAAAGAATGTTAGTATTTTTCCCACTTCTGTTAATGTTAACATTGTTTCATGCACAGAACTTTTTAAAAGTTTATAGCAAAATCTATTTACTTTATGTATAAGTGATGCCATAAATCATAAAAAGCAGTTTTCAGAAATCAACAGTTATTTGAATTTAATCAACTATCACTTTGGCACATATGGATCGACTTGGTCTTTGAACGACCCAAGACATAATCATTTATGTACTTTCTGCCTCTTCATAAGCAGATTTTAAAAAGTCATCTTTTACTATTACAAATTACAAAACACCTATAAAAATACTAATAGAGGTTAAACAGCACATCCTTATTTTTTATATTTGGAAGAAACTTTAAGAGTAATATTGGGTGTCCAAAAATTCAAACATGTATATATCAAACAGTATTTTCACTGCTTAAAATTATAAGGTATTTTAATTAAAAATTTTATTTAAATAAAATTTGTATTTTAATTAAAAATATATACTTATCACAGCACTAAGCTACACAGCACTGGGGGGGATAAAAAGCTAGGTCCCTGGTCTCCCAGGACTCAATGCCACATAGAAGGGTGACTGAGCCAGGGCCCCAGGAACTAGGACAGCACAGAGGTGGACAGTCACTGCCGGTGGCTGGCGAGTCCCAGGATAGCTTTTGGGGAGATTGTTGACCTGCTCGATGGCTGACAGGGAGGGAAAGAAAAACAGGGGGCAGCCGAGCCTGTGGCCCTACATCCCCAGTGATCAATCATAAACTGTTCTAAGACAATTCATGGATTGTAAATAAGAATCAAAAAAAGTAGGATCAGTGTGTTAGCATGCTGGATATAAAATGTGTCTCAGAAATAAAATACAAAGGAGTATTGTATTTACAATACAAAGGAGTATTCCAAGTTAATCAGAATAATGGTCCTAATTCCATGTAAGGATCTAGAAGTGATGGCTGTTTATCAAGATGTTCCATGAAAGGATCCTCTGAAAGACAGGTTGATAGAGGAAGTTTGCATCTGGCAATAGTTATTTTTAGGAGGTGAGGACCCCCAGCGGCACAGCAGAAGTGTGACTCTACCCATGAGCATGCTGCCGCCCAAGATGTGCTAACGGGTTAACCGTGTTGCGCTCAGAAAAACCACTGTCCAGGCAAGCGTGCACGAGTGACTTTCTCTAGCTGCTGAAACTGGGGAATGGCCCTGCTCCTTTCTGGAAAGCAGATGAGCCATGCTACTTGATCTCTTGTTGCATTTTTACCTGTAAAATACTATTTCTATCTGCCAGTGTGGAACACCATGTCTCTGATCTTTGTTCCTAGTCCCAATGACAGCGCTCCTAAAAGCCCTGGAATCCCCTGAGTGTTGGGATCATGTCTTGTTGCTCATAATGAACCCCTATAACAACCCCTGGTTTATGCTAGTGAGGTTCCTAAGGGAGGGGCCCCTAGACAGCCTCAGAATGGGGCTGGCAACTAGAAAAGCCAAATGACAGTGGAGTAGGGTGGTGACTGCAGCCGCAGCCTGGGGTGGGGGAGGGGTGCACCCCAGTGTCTCAGGGACAGGAATGCCTGTGTCCAAGCCCCTTTCAGATCTCACCCTTTGCGCCTGTCCATCTGGCTCTTGGAGGCCTGCATAATAAAATGGCCAACACCAGTGTTTCCCTGAGTTCTGTGAATCATCCTAGCCAAGTAACTGAACCCAAGGAAGGGGTCCTTGGCTTGTAGTCAGTTGGTCAGGAGGACAGTGGCCTGGTGTGGTGATCAGCATGTGAAGCAAGGGCAGTCTTGTGGGATTGAGCCCTCAATCCCGAGGGATCTGACACCATTCGAGTGGTGCTAAATTACAGGTGTCTGCTGGAGACTTGCTTGGTGTATGAGGAACATACTCCTAACCGGGCGTGCGCACACACACACACACGCACATGCACACACATGTGCTCACAGGAGTGTTCTGTGTGGAGTGTAAGGCTAGAGAGCAGGAGTGGTTTGTTTACTTATTTATTTCTCTGACACATTGATTGACCCACAAGGAATGTATAACATTTTCTGGTTAAGGATACCACATACAGTCATTGCTCAGTATGTAGTACTGTGAAGGCAATGCCCCCACAGACACCAGAATCCAAGATGCTCAAGTCTCTCACGTCAACTGATGTGGCATTCCCACACAACCTGTTCACACCTTCAATATGCTTTAAATAGCCTCTAGATGGCTTATAAGATCTACTACAATGTAAATACTTGTTATGTTGTTTAGGGTATATGGACGAGCTAAAGGTCTGTTCCGAGTTCCTTGTAGAAGCAACCATCTCAGCCCTAACTACAGTGGACACGTCAGCAACAATGTAGTGTTTTCCATGGAGATATGGCATGCAACCGGACCCACGGAATCATTCAGTCATAGCAGGATATGAGTGAATGTCAAAAACCACCTGCACACCTTCCCATTCCCATGTACACACGTTTGTACATGCACACACATGCTGTTGTCGTTTAAGCTGTGGTCATCCAATGACGTTTGTTTTGTTTGGATAGTATCTGTATGTTTGGAAATGAATGTTAATCTTGGTATGGATTTTACTAGTCCTTTTCAAAAAATCCTGTAAGCTTCATTTCATTGAGTTCGTTATTAAGGAGGACTCTAGAGATGGTTGTTTCTAAGAATGAGCTTATCTGGCAGAGTGGTCCAGAGTCCCCCACGAGACAGCCGTTTCTCCACAGCAAGGCCCATCTTCGTGTTACTTGTCACAGTTCATTTCTTCGGGGAGGGGGTGGGCTCTGGTTTCTTTACGGTCTCTGATTTTCAGTTTGCTCAAACAGGGGAGAAGTTTTATCAGAACGCAGTCACTAGAACTTTCGGATTTTCTCCTCTCTCTCTTGCATCTCTGGATTTTTTCCCAGATCTGAACCTGAAAATAAAATTGTTGCTCTAGAAAATGAAATATTCAAAACTTACCTCCTCAAAATGCCAGACACTGAAAAACATTTCCTCAATCAATCAATCAATCATTATTTGAACAATGACAAGAACCTTATGAATACAGGTCTCGTATATTATGGCTTTGAGCATCTGGGGCCATTTTCTCATTTAAGCATAAAATCCACTACTTATTAAAATTTTTTTTAGGGCCAGCACTGTGGCACAGCGGGTTAATGCCCTGGCCTAACGCGCTGGCATCCTATATGGGCACTGGTTCGAGACCCGGCTGCTCCATTTCCAATCCAGCTCTCTGCTATGGCCTGGGAAAGCAGTGGAAGATGGCCCAAGTCCTTGGGCCCCTGCACCCATGTGGGAGACCCGGAAGAAGCTCCTGGCTCCTGGCTTCAGATCAGTGCAGATCTGGCCGTTGCGGCCAATTGGGGAGTGAACCACTGGATGGAAGACCTATCTCTCTCTCTCAGTCTCTCTCTCTCTGCCTCGCCTCTCTCTGTGTAACTCAAATAAATAAAAATCTTTAAAATTTTGTTTTGTTTTGTTTTGTTTTTAATTTGAGAGACAGAAAGGGTGAGCGAAAGAGAGAGGAGAAGGAGCGAGAAGAGAGCACTTCCATCTGCTGGTTCACTCCCCAAATGGCCTCAATGGCCAGGACTGGGCCAGGCTGAAGGTGAGACCTGGGAACTCAAGGCAAATCTCACATGGTGGCAGGAATCCAACTACTTTCATCTCTGCTGCCTTCCAGGGTGCATGTTAGAAGGCAGATGGAATCAGGAACCAAAGCCAAGTACTGAACCCAGGCATTCACATGGGTGTCCCCACCAGCAGCATAACTAGCAGGCCAAACACCTGCCCCAAGCCTGGAATTGAAACTCCTTCAGGAGGTTTTTGAGGGAAGGCTACTGGGGTAAGCATGAGGTTTTCAGTAACTGAAGTTGAGACTGCAGGAGTTATTACATCATTAGAAAACAATGACTTTTCAGAACTGGGCACCGGCTGCTGTCCAGATTCCGTCAGGGATCAGACTACATTCACACATGGACTTCTCTGTGGCCTGGAGCTGAAGACATCTTATCTTACCTAACTCACGACAACCACACAGAATATTCCCACGATGGATGGAAATACGAAAGTTCAGTAACAATTAAATGATGAGGACGGGTCTGGGAACCACTGAATCGCCTAACCCATCCGTGTGCCCGGAGGGTGGTGCACCCCAACTCCAGGGGGCAGAATCTCCTGCACTCAGTAGCCTTCTAAACTGTGCCCTACTTACCTCTTTATAAGGCTGTGCATTTGAAGCCTTGCTAATAAACTACTAATTGTAAGGAAAACATTTTTTCAAGTTTTGTGGGTCATACTGGCAAATAATCAGGCCTCAGGAGGGGAACTGTGGGAACCCCAGACTTTGCAGCCAAGTGAGACAGGAAGTATGGGTAACCTGGGGACACAATTTTGCACCTGGCATCTGAAGTGAGGGCGAGATCGTGGCCCTGAGTTATTAACCCTGTCAGGTGAGATACAGGTGTTTTTGTCCGCATTTAAATTAATTATAGGATACCCAACAGGTGTCAAAATTGGTTGGCATCAGGAAGAAAAACTAGCACAAATGTACAGGCCCAAGCATGATAACTGAATTGCTTTAATATGCATTTCTTAGTGTAAGTTTTCCCCATAAGTATACTGCAGACTTAAGTTTCCTCTTCCATAAACTGCCTGTTCATGTTCTTTACCAGTTTTCTAATTGTTTGTCTTTTTTCCCACTGAAAGGCTTTCTGTAAATTCTGTATATTAGACTTATGTCTATAGCAAGTATTTTTCCTTGACTTATTAATGTTGGCTTTTTTTCACCTTGCCAATAATTTAAGAAAATATATTTTAAAGTTATTTTAGAGGCAGAGAAAGAGAGAGCAAGAAAGACAAAGAGCTCTGATCTGATTGTTCACTCCCCAGATACCCCCAGTGAGTAGGGCTGAGCCAGCCTGGAGCCACAAACAGGGAACTCAATCTAGGTCTCCCGTGTGAGTGCAGAAACCCAACTACTTGAGCCATTCACTGCTGCCTTGCAGGAACCACATCAGCAGGATGCTGGAATCAGGAGCTGGAGCCAGGAATCAAATCCAGATACTACTGTATGGGATGCAGGAATCCTGATTGGTGTCATAACCACTAGACTCAACTCCGGCCCTGTCAATAGTTTTTAAAATTATATAATGGGTACATCAATCTTTTCCTTATGGCTGTTTGATTTTCACATTATGGTCAAAAATACTTTCTCTAAGGTTATAAAAATATTTATATTTTTGTTACATTTTAGGCCTAAATTTTTAATCTTTCTTTAATGCATCTTGATTTTTTTTATGGTTCAACTATTTTAATGATTCAAGATGTCTGGCCAAATGTTCTAACATCTTTTACTGAAAAAAATCTAACTTTTGCCCCACTGATTTTGAGCTGCTTTTAATCACACACGGAATTCTTGCATTTTTAATTTTCCTGATTTGTATTCTATTCCATTGATTTCTCTCTTTCTCTTTCTCTCTCAAATTTATTTATTTATTTGAAAGTCAGAGTTACAGAGAGAAAGGGAGAGACAGAGGGATAAATATCTTCCATCTACTGGCTCACTCCCCAAATGGCCACAATAGCCAGGGCTGAGCCAGGCCAAAGCCAGGAGCCAGGGGTCCAAGCACCAAGGTCATCTTCTGCTGCTCTCCCAGGTGCATTAGCAGGGAGCTGGACTGCAAGTGGAGCTGTTGGGACCTGAACTGGTGCCTATAGGGGATGCCAGCACTGCAGACAGCAGCTCAACCCACTGTGCCACAGCACCAGCCCCATTCCATTGATTTCTATGCCCAGGCCATCACCGCACTGTGTTAATTCCCACTGCTTGACAACGTATGCTATTATCTGATAGGGCTGTTCTCTACTCACCGCCCATCCATTCCGCTCTATCTAGGTATCCCAGCAAACGCCTTCTACCGAGGGATCTGGTATCTTTTGGTTAAGTCCCACTTACCCTTTCACTTTCTGCATCTGGTCTAGGGTCTCCGGTAGAGTCATTCCAAAACTTTCAGGGAAAAACAGGGTGACAATTCCAATGAAGACAGTCAGACTGCCCATGACGATGTAGGGCAACATTCTGTTGTAAGCACCTGTGGGGCGGCGAACATGGGAACATCAGGTCAACACAGGAACTCTCTGGATGCTTTTGAAGTCCTAAATTCAATTTGTGAACGTGACAAGTAGGGTTTAAGAGCAGCTTTCAATCTGCTTTCAGAAGGGAAAAAAAAAAAAAAACAAGCAAACAGCAGTTTCTTTGATTGCATATGTTGTTGTCTTTGCATTTCTATAATAATTTATCTGCTTGATTTCACATTGTCACAAGGTTTTTCACTTTTCTATCAACTAGTATCATCTAAACCACTGCTGAATCATGTGTGACAGAAGTCTCTCCTCCCCAAGTTCCCTGCTAAAGGTGGAGGTGACGAGAGGGGAGGCCTGGGAAGACATCAAGGGGAAGAGGTAGGCTGGGATATTTCAGGGCAGGTCTGGTCACTCTGAGTGAAGGGTGGCCTCTGCTTTTGCCTACAGCAGATAGCTGCAGGGGAGAGCTAGGTACATAGAGTCATGAGAATCTCAGACACACACACCAAAACATAGTGTGTGAACTGATAAATGATGACTGATATGCACTTGGATTTGGTTTTTCTATCTCTCATTTTTAAATAAAACATATTTATTTATTTATTTATTTGAAAGTCAGAATAACAGAGAGACAGAGAGAGAAAGACACAGAGAGAGAAATTTTTCCATCTGCTGTTTCACTCCCCAAATAGTTGCAACAATCAGAGCCCGGTCAGGGGTCTGGAGCTTCATCTGGGTCTCCCACATGGGTATAGAAGGCAAAGCACTTGGAGTGTCTGCTGCTTTCCCAGGTGCATCAGCAGGGAGCTGGATAGAAACTGGGGTATCCAGGACTGGAACCAGTGTCCATAAAAGATGCTGGCATCACAGGTGGCAGCTTAACCCACTATGCTACAATGCCCACCCCAGATTTCTCTTTGCAGCATTCTATGTCTTGTTTCTACATGTAATAGGAACAGCCCTCCTCCCCCTCTTGCTTATGGGGCCTTACTCAGGAGAATCACAGACCCTCATTCTGCCTCCCTCTGCATGGAGATCACATGTTACTTTGTTAACTGCACAGGCTGCTGGGGAGCTGAAAGCTCTTTCTTGGACTCTGCCTATCAGGCACCGATGCCTTCCCTCCTCCTGCCCCACCAGCGAGCTGAGCAGCCAGAGTGTGAAAGGAAAGCTGACTCCACCTTGCGCGATGTACTCTCTCCGTCCGGGTGTGGGGGGTTTCTCTTTGGAAAATGTTTCTCTTTGTCTGCAAGGATGCACAAGAGTCTTCTCTGGGATTTAGGGAGTGTAGGTGAGTTGGAAGCAGTAGGTGACTAGAAAGAATGAGAAGGTGTGTCCACATTTCCCACCAGTACAGTCTTTAATGAGGACTGGGTGTGAAGTACCAGATCCTACATCCCAGTGAATCCTGTTGAAGCCCTTCTGTGGTATTACCCTAGGCTGTTGAAGTTTCTGTGCTCACAAAGTTTCTGATTTGGGATTTTCACATTAGGGATGTTCAACCTTAACAGCAAAAACCCGGGGCCAGCACTGTGGCATAGGGGGTAAAACCGCAGCCTGCAGTGTCGGCATCCCATATGGGTGCCAGTTCAAGTCCTGGCTGCTCCACTTCTGATCAGCTCTCTGCTGTGGCCTGAGAAAGCAGTAGAAGATGGCCCAAGTCCTTAGGCCCCTGCACCTGCGTGGGAGACCCAGAGGAAGCTCCTGGCCACTGGCTTCGGATCGGCACAGCTCCAGCCATTGTGGCCATCTGGGGAGTAAACCATTGGATGGAAGACCTCTCTCTCTCTACCTCTGTCTCTCTGTAACTCTGCCTTTCAGATAAATAAATATATCTTTAAAAATAAATAGCAAAAACCCAGAAATGACCTAAATGCTCAGCCTCTGGAGTGTATTTAAATAAATTATTTATGCATGTATATTGGAAGACTTTGTTTATTAAAAAGATGGCAAAAGAACAGAATATATCCATTGAAAAGGATATTCTGTTTCAATGTTAAGCTTTAAAAAGTTGCTACATATAATTTATTTGCATGTTTATCTATATGTGTTTGCACATATATAGGCTATGCAAAACAATGACTGAAGGGCTACCCAGCAAACCATTAATATTGGCTACTTCTAGGCAATTCAGACAGCTGGAAGAGGAGAGGTAAACTTGTATTTTTCCATGCCATTTGAATTTTTCACAATGCAAATCTATCACTTTTATATTTAAAGTAGATTTAAAGAAAGAACAGAAGGACGAGGTGCATCTCACCCAGGTAAACGAAGTAGGGAGCGACGATGCTGCCCACCCTGGAGGCCATGGATGTGACCCCCACAGCCATGTTCCTGACCAGGGTTGGGTAGAGCTCTGCGGTGAAGACATACAGCATGGAGAAGGCAGAAGTGACCCCAAATTTCCCCAGCATCACCAGACCAATGGACACGAAGTTATAATCTGGAAAAGAGACCCAGTGTAAACAGGACTGCTTTTAGAAGCGACACTAAACTCAGTTGCTTTAATTGTCCTTTTCTGCTTCATTGGGAATGATTTTATCAATGTGTGGTCTTCCCAAAACAGCACTTTCTCTTCAAATGTCCTAATAATTAGACATGGACAAAGATGGAGCATGAGAGTGCCTTTGCACTTTGCTTGCTGTTACTCTAGGTCATTAACACAGCTAGTGACCTTTGTCCATTTGTTTTTTATTTATTTCAAGAGTTCCACAGTAAACTGATAACATGTTAATATAGTTAAGTTTAATTTTGGAAGAAAAGGGCTAATCCTTTTCATCTTGTTTCCTGTTATGAAGCAGTGCAGATTTCCATGTATTTCCTGTATCAGTAATGTACTGAGTTAACGCTTCCATAATATGAGAAAGTTACTCATAAGGAGAGAAGGAAGCAGATACCGCTTTGCGTGCTATTTAACTTCTTCATGATTCAGACCACAGAATCAGTGCATTTAGCCTGGAGCCAGCATGTGTTTCCAGCTCCAACACTTGAACGTATATCTCAGAGAAAAGGTTTCAAAACACTGAGAAAAATTCAAGAAAGTGGGAATCATGACTGACTCCAAGAAAGCGGTATGATTGGGTGACTCTTCCCTTTCACTGGTGACTTCTCGAAAGCTGACTCAAGTGGTTGCTTTGAACATGGAAAATTACATAATGAGCAATCACCTGTCTAACTGACCTGTGAATGGTCTCTGATGTCAAGGCTGCAAAACAAGGAGCAGTGACTCATACACAAATGGCCCAGCCATGCCTGGGTCTGTTCTGGGAAGCTGTTCACTCTGGTTAATTGCTTACCTGCAGGCACCAGCTGAATTAAGAGGAGCACACCTCCTCCCCAGAACAGCACCCCTGCTATGATATAGCGCCTGGGCAGGGTGCGCAGCAGCAGCCAGGCTGTAATGTAAGCAGGGACTTCAATCAAGGCTGAGAGGAAACAGTTCAAGTAGGGATCTCCATGTAAATTAGGGGAGTTGAGAGACAGAGCAAAGTAACCCACAGACGTTAGCATCCTGAAAGATAAAAAAACAGATAAAATGACCAAAGGATGGCCTTAGTCACACTAAAATTTCAAGGTAGTCTATAAAATACCTAAACCTTGTTGTCTCTGAGCAGTCACTAGACCCATGTGGCTATTTAAGTTTAAGTAAGGGAGGATAGAATTGTGGTGCAATGCATTAAGCCACAGCCACCTGCAATGCTGGCATCCCATCTGGGAGCTGATTCCAGTTTCACGTCCCAGTTGCTCCACTTCAGATCCAGCTGCCTGCTAATGTGCTTGGGAAAGCAGCAGAGGATGCCCCAAGTGCTTGGGTCCCTGCACCCACATGGGAGACCCAAAAGAAGCTCCTGGCTCCTGGCTCTTGGCTTTAGCCCAGCCCAGCCCAGCCCAGCCCCTGATGTTGCAGCCATCTGGGGAATGAACAAGTGGATGGAAGATCTCTCTCTCTCTCTCTCTCTCTCTCTCTCTCTCTCTCTTTCTCTCTCTCTCAATCTTTCCTCTGTGTGTGTCCCTCCCTCTCTCTCTGTTACTCAGACTTTCAAATAAATAATTAAAAAAAAATTTAAATAGGTGCTGGTGTTTGGCCCAATAGTTAAGATGCCACTTGGAACAACCACATCCCATACTGCAATGTCTGGATTTGAGGGCTGATTCTGTTCCCAGTTCCGGATTCTTGCTGATGCACACTGTGGGAGGGAGCTGCTGACAGCTCAAGTCCTCTAGTCTCTGCCACCCACATGGGAGACCTGGACTGAGTTTGCTGTTCCTGACTTTGGCTTCATCCAGTCCTGCCTGTAGTTGGCATTTGGGAACTGAAACAGTGATGGGAGATCCGTCTGTCTCTCTGCCCTTCACATAAATAAAAATAAAAAGTTTAGGACAGCACTGTGTTATAGTAGGTTAAGCCTCTGCCTGCAGTGCCAGTTTGAGTACCAGCTGCTCCACTTCCAGTCCAGCTCCCTGCTAATGGGCGGGGAAAAGCAGTGGAAGATGACCCAGGTGCTTGGTCCCTGCTCCTGGCTCCTGGCTGTGGATTGGCCCAGCTCCAGCTTTTACGGCCATCTGGAGAGTAAACCAGCAGAAGGAAGACCTCTCTGTTTCTCCCTCTCTCTATAACTCTGCCCCTCAAATAAATGAATAAATCTCTAAAAAAAGTTTAATTATACAAATGAAAACTAAAATTTTTAAAAGTGAAAAATAGAACTTCAAATTCAGTTCCTCAGTCAAATTAGTCACCCTGCAAGGACTCACCACCACACCTGGCCAGTGGCTGCTGTACTGGACAACATGGATGTAAAACATTTCCACCACTGCACAAAGTTCTACTGGATAGTACCGGTCTACACACACCAGTATTCAATAGTAACCAGTCCACACTGGTTGATTTCAACCCTCACTATTTCCTGACTAGTTTGTACCTCTTCATTCCTTAGAGCTGTTATTATCAGAAGAAAAAAAAGTCAGTCTCATCAGCGAGTACAAAATCCAGATCTCATTATTTAAAAATAAGAGCAGATACACACAGGTGATACTATGAGGTCAACATCTAGTAATTCTGATCTAGTAAAACTCATTTTGGGAGAAAAGTGAAGGTTTCAGAATGCTTCAGAACATCACTGAAGGCAGAGTGCACACCCTGTGCCCCAACTAACGCGCACAGAGAAACTCCTCTGTGAGAAGAAATAACTGTGCTACGGAATCCCCTGGAGAATCTGCTTATTCTTAGCATGGATGTTTTCAGAAACTTCACTGGATTTATTTTTATACAGACTGTACCACGTGGAGTAGCATAAGGAATAAAACAAAACAAAAACAAAAGCTTATTGCTGGAGGGGTCATGATGATTTTCACGTTTAGCCACAGAGGCAGCTCAGGCAGAACTGCTGCCCGAGATGGGTCTGCGTCTGTGAGGTCTGTGACGTATGAAGATGAGGCAGCCCTCGGTGAGGAAGGCCATAAGCCTGCGACATACATGCTGAATTCTGAGGCATACTCTCTTTCCTTGACTTCTCATTGCAAAACAGGATGGCCCTAAGAATAGACTTGCTGCAGCCTGCACCTGCCAGTTCTGCTGACCACCATGGGCTACAAGGGCTCTTCTTCTTATTCTTCATTTATTCCTTATTACTTTTTAAAAAAGATGTTATTTATTTAATTGAAAGGCAGAGTTACAGAGAGGCAGAAACAGAGGCAGAGGGAGAGAAAGGTCTTCAACCTGCTGGTTCACTCCTCAAATGGCCACAATAGCTAGAGCTGGGCCCATCCAAAGCCAGAAGCCTGGAGCTTCTTTCAGGTTTCCCACATGGGTCCAGGGGCCCAAATCCTTGGACCACCTTAATCTGCTTTCCTAGGTGCATTAGCAGGGAGCTGGATCAGAAGTGGAGCAGCCACGTCTCAAACCACTGCCCATATGGGATGTTGGCACTGCAGGCAGCGGTTTTACCCACTATGCCACAGCACCAGTCCCTCTTCTTCATTTCTTGGCAGACACACTATTATATCTAATCTACAAAGTCAGTTCATTATCTGTGTGCCATATAAGCCCTTGCTTCTTGCTGTTGGCAGGTGTAAAAAGCTGAGCAAGACGCTAAGCCAGGCAGGGGGGACTCAGGTTCTCTTAACCGGAGTTGGTGGCTGGATCAGCTTCAGGAAGCAGGAGCTGAAGGAGCATCTGTCCCCCAGGGCAGATTAGTCTGCATCCCATAAGGGTAGGAGGGAAGGGAACCCTTCTCCTGAGGGTCCCAGCACTGCAGACCTGAACACCATGGCTTGTATCCAGTGCCATGAACTGAAAGAAGACATTTCTAATTAACCTGGCACTCACTCGTCGTATTTTGTGTGTTTCCCTGAGGGAAGGACAACGGGCTGCATACTTAGGTGCTGCACACCTGCACTTCCAGATCACTCCTTACTTACCAGAGCAGCACAGACATAATGGTCATTGTGGCGATATTCCGCGTCCTGAACAGGTCCAGGATGAAAACTTTCTGCTCCTTCAGGAGGTTTAGCTCTTGTAGCTAAAATAATGCAAATAAGCATGAGATTAAGAGGAAGTATCTTTGGCCATGACGCACAGGAATGACTTACACACGCTACTCGCACGTCACCTTGAATATGCTTAGAAGTCTGGAAACTGAGGGGAATAAGGGCATCTACATAATTCAATGATTACTCTAACACTTTAAAATGCGCCCATGTATGCAAGTGATTCATTTTTAATTTTTTTTATTTGAAAGGCACAAGGAAAGAGATATAGGGAGACAGAGATATCTTCCATATGCTGTTTCTTCCCAAATACTAGCAATAGCCAGGGCTAGAACAGGTGGAAGTCAGGAGCCCAGAACTCCATTTGGGTGGCAGGAACCCACCTGCTTGAGCCATCATCTGCTATTTCCCAGGGTGTATATTAGCAAGAAACCGAATCGGAAGCACAGTAGCCCCAGGCATTCCAATGGGGGAAGTGAGAGTCCCAAACAGTGAACCAGCTGCTGCACCAAATGCCTGTCTCTGGCCTTTGAAATATGTAACATCAGCTCCAGTGTCCCCTACACAAAGCCTGATTGCTCCCGTAGCCTTCCCTGGCTCACGGTCTCACTGTGGATGGCTCTATTACACTGACCTAGGATCCTAGGGTCTACTGGGTAGGTAGGGTCACATAGCCCCAAACTGTCTTGAGGTTGTATCTGTTTTGTTTACTTATTCGAAGGGGGGCATGACATACACACATATATACACAGAATCTTTCCATCTACTGGTTCACTCCTCAAATACCTACAGTGGTTGGAACTGGGCTGAAGCTGAAGCTGGGAACTCAGTGCAGCTCTCCCATGTGGGTGGGAAGGACTAAAGTACTGGAGCCATCGCCTGCTGCATCCGCACTGGCAGGAAGCCGGAATTGGGAGAGGAGCTGCACTCAGACTCAGGCTCTTTGGTCTGCCACTCAAGCATCCTAAGTGGCATCATACCATTTCTCCCCCTTTTAAATCCGATTATATTAACTTCCTTGAGCTATGAATCTGGGTAACCAGGCTGGTAAGAATTGATGCTAAAATAAAAGTTGCAAAGCTCTGAGGTGGGAAATCTCTTGGAGAGGAAGCGCGAGGCCTCTGGTCCTGTGGTGTAGTAAAGCAGGTGAAGAAGTGCCTGCTACAGAGTGAGGGCGCTGGGGCTGCCTCTGGAGCAGGTGCTCCCCAAATATTAGCTCCTATCTTTTCATGGCAATCGCACACTCACCAGTTCACAGCCAGACTGTCTTTTCTCTATTGTGCTACCTGGAGAAATACCTAGCTCCAGCCCCTGCGGCATAACCACATCACTACAACAAAGAAGTCCTCATGGAGGGTCCTGAGGCTGCTGCACACAGACAGAACCTGTGGTTCAGACCCTGCTCCCACTTGGCACTTCCCCAGGGCTCTTGTCAAAGAGCAGACTGCCAGGTCCCACCCTGGGCCTGCTTATCCTGACCCTCCTGGGGCTCAGAGCCTGGTGAATCCATATTTTTAAAGCTCCTTGTATAACTGTTGATGAGCAGGGTTTCCAAGCAACAAGACAAGAATATTCCTATAAAATATCTTTGGGTCAGGTACCATGAGCAAGCTGAAGGCGCTTCATCTGCAATGAGGGACACTCCAGTCACTTTCTACAGTGGAGCTGCTCTATATTTTTTCCTGTCTGCCCTGCCTCTAACACAAAGAACGCAGAGCACTGTTGTTAAGAACACACACATCACACCAGAGACCCTGGTTGCCAATCCCAGCTCAATGGCTGTGTGCTCCTAAGCAAGTTACTACCTTCTCCTGAAAAGCAGGCTGCTAACAGTATCTACTAGTGAGATCAGTACGAGTGTCATCTGAGCCAACTATGCTACCAGGTGGGCTCCTCGCTGCCACTGTGGACAGCTGCATGTGCTGGCACAGGGTTCTGCACCTCCTGAACAGGATCTGGTCCTGGGAGGTGAGCGGGGGAAATGGCAGAGCAGCAGGAAAGCACTCAGTGGGAGGGAGGCTTGTCCATGTCAGGCTCAATGGGCAAGTTCAGCTGGAAGAAGCAAGGCGTGGTCAGAGCATGTGACTGGGCCCTGGACTTCATTCTATCTTACCCATCACTGTGTATCTCTTATCTATGTTAGAATTGCTCTCATTTCATCTCTACAACCAGACTGGAAGTTTCTCAATGATAACAATCAGGTCACATCCCAATAAATACCAACAAACACTCAGCAGAGCCCTGAAGGGCAGACACTTTCAGAACTCCCACTGTTGTTTTTACCTCCAATGAAAATGACTAAGCCTGGGAACGGACTTCAGGGTTTGAAAGGCAAAGGATTAAGGGACACTTTTTCCTGTTATCTCCCTGAGAGCTCGGGTTCAGAGCCACTGTAATTAAGCCTCTAGGGCACCTGCTTCAGGAGAAGGTCCTGCAGGCCAGGGGTGGATGAAGGCCCCAGGCAGAGCACAGCACACCCGCTTCTTCCACAGTCTGCTTTCTGGGGAAGCCGAGTGCACACTTCTGCGCAGGGCACACACACAACCATTGCAGCCACCAGAATCTTCCAGGATCCTGAGCAGCCCCCACTGCTATAGCCCGGAACACCCTGCTCCATCTTTTGCAGTTATCGCAGTGAATCCTACTGTCCTCCCTGGCTTGCACCTGCCTCTTCAGCCTTCAAGCCACCCTGCTTTCCTTCTCTAACTGCTGGCCCAACGTCACCTCCCTGATGTCATCATTTATCTCTTCAGTGTATTCTCTTTGCCCCGTTCATAACATTCTATGCTCCTTTAGTATAAGGGCTGCACCTTATTTTTGTTGTTTTCTCTAGGGTCTAGCACTGGGCACAGCACACCGTGTATCTTCACTAACCATTAGACTGCACGGCTGCTGCCATGAACTACCAGCTCCTCCTCACAGCCACCACCTCTGGGGAGAGTCCCCGAGCCTGGGCTCACAGGCCTTATGGCTCCACACGTGACACACAGCAATACTAAAGATAAGCACAGAGCCTCAGCAGGCTTTGGGAAGGCTGAGCACAGGACGGAACCAAGGGTGGACCAGCTCTCAAACGCTTTTTTCCACTTAATGTGCACATTTACCTATCATCAGTACATAACTGAGTCAGTGATCTGAAGCAACACAAATAAAAAGGTGGAGATAAATTTACAAAGTGAAGGCAACTAATATTTTTTTTTTGACAGGCAGAGTGGACAGTGAGAGAGAGAGAAAGAGAGAAAGGTATTTCTTTTCCGTTGGTTCACCCCCCAATGGCTGCTGCAGCCGGCACGCTGATCCAAAGCCAGGAGCCAGGTGCTTCCTCCTGGTCTCCCATGTGGGTGCAGGGCCCAAGCACTTGGGCCATCCTCCACTGCCTTCCCGGGCCACAGCAGAGAGCTGAACTGGAAGAGAGGCAACTGGGATAGAATCCGGCGCCCCAACCGGGACTAGAACCCGGTGTGCCAGCGCCCAAGGTGGAGGATTAGCCTATTGAGCCGCGGCATCGGCCAAAGGCAACTAATATTTAATAACACTTGCTGTTTGCTAAGCAGTTTATATATACTGCTGCATTTAATTTTAAAAAATGATTTATTTACTTGAAAGCAGACATCTCTTGTATACTGGTTCACTCCCCAAGTGCCTGCACAACAGGGGTTGGGCCAGGTTGAAGCCAGGAGCCAAGAATTCAATCCACATCTCCCATGGGTGGCTGGGGCCCAAGTTCTTGAGCTATAACCTGTTACCTCCAGGGTATGCATCAGCAGGAAGCTGGAATTGGGAGCAGAGCCGAGACTGAAACCAGGGCACTCTTGGTGTCCTAAGTGGTGTCTTAGCCACTCCACCAAATGCCCAGACCAGGACTTAATTCTTAAACAGCCCTTTCAGATGCATTGTATCTCAAAATGTATTCACAATTATGTTCCTAAGATCTAGTACAATGCCTGGTACACTGTGGGCACTTAACAAATACTGAATTAAACTAAATTCCATAAAGCCAAGAATGCATAGCTGGTACTCACAGGAAACACCTGAGGACACTCACCTCCACAGGATCAAATATCACCACTGGTACTGCTGTCTTGTTCATTTTGGCAGCTTTTCGGATGATTTCTTCAGCCTCTCTAAATCTCCTCTGGGATATCAGCCACCGTGGAGATTCAGGAATAAACCTAGAATTAATTTTTAATAGTTTATACCTTTTCACTGCAGCAGGGAGTGACACTATTAACTATAAGCTGCCCCCATATCATTTTAATTTAATAAAATTTTAGTTTTTTGTTTCTTTTTATGGTTAATTGGGAGAGAATCTCCCAAAGATTTCCACTGGGTCATAGGAATAAATAAAAGCATCTTCAAGTTTTAAACTTTAGATCTAATCACAAGACTGGTTATCAGTTGTGCTTGAGCCCAGACCATAAAGGGTGACTTATCTATGGGTACATTTGAGCCAGTGCATAGGCAGGGCTATTCTAAAAGAAGCACAGCCAGTAGATTTAAGTCCCCCAAGAGGAGAAACCATCTTCCTGGCATGTCCATGCTTTGGAGGATTCCTGGTACCTGAGCTGGGGATGGTCACAAGTTTACTGGGTAAAGCCCAGAGCACTCGTGTCCCCCTAAAACCTCCTGAAATGAGAGAAAAAGGTGAGGGCACTGGGCCTCCTTTAGATGTCCCTGTGGCTTTTAAAGTTTCCCAGGTCAGCGAGTGACAAACTGGGTTTTGAAAAATGTGATCCTTTTTATTATTATTATTTTTAAAGTCTCAACCCTTAATTTTTTAACTTAGATAGTGTATACACATTTATAACTCAAGCTCAAATACTGCTACAAATGTAAGGCTTTTCTCCTTGCCTAAGTTTTATTTTTTAGACCCTCTGAGCCATTCTCTTGCTTTCCTTACCTATTTGTCAGTACTTAGTTATCCTAGAAAATAGATTAAAAGTAGCAAATACGGAGGCCTCCTATAATGAATAGGCTGCAATGCTACACTGGGAATTAGCTTAGAGGGAAACCCAACGTGACAAATGGCCAACCTGCAACTCCCTTCCTCAGCCTAGCAGCACATGGGTTGAAAAAACGAGCCTTGGCCGGCGCTGCGGCTTACTAGGCTAATCCTCCACCTTGCGGCGCCGGCACACCTGGTTCTAGTCCCGGTCGGGGCTCCAGATTCTGTCCCGGTTGCCCCTCTTCCAGGCCAGCTCTCTGCTGTGGCCAGGGAGTGCAGTGGAGGATGGCCCAGGTCCTTGGGCCCTGCACCCCATGGGAGACCAGGGTAAGTACCTGGCTCCTGCCATCGGATCAGCGCGGTGCGCTGGCCGTAGCACGCCAACCGCGGCAGCCATTGGAGGGTGAACCAACGGCAAAGGAAGACCTTTCTCTCTGTCTCTCTCTCTCACTGTCTACTCTGCCTGTCAAAAATAATAATAATAATAATAATAAAAGAAAAAACGAGCCCTTTCTGCATTTTTTGGAAGATTCCCTTGATTGATTTGGAAGATTCCCATAGGAACTGTGACGATGTTAGGTCACTACCTTCCTAACTAGAGCTCCTTTGTCCAGCTTCTGAAATGTCCTATATCTGTGCTGTCCAGTACAGTAGCCACACCCACATGTGGTCATTGCGATAGTGTGGCTACTGGGACTCAGAAATGAACACCTAATTACTTTTTACCTTAAAGAGCTGCACTCAACTGGCGGCTACCACATGAGACAACACGCAGAGGTCTGACGAGCAGCCACCGCACACGTGAGTGCTTCACACACACCTCTGTTGCTGGGAAGTGTCTCTCCCCAGCCACGTTATACCTACCAGGACCACACTTGTCTTTCTACAGGCTCTGACTCTTAGTGTGCAGCTTCCCCACCCCAGCTGCTCACACCTGTGACCTTTCACTGCCAGGTCTTTGAAAGGAAACTTGAGACATCTGCAGGGGCTCGCTTCAAATTTCCCTCTCATTTCTAGTTCACTGAAAATTCCAGGGACATTGGGAAATCCACTTCTTGAACTGCCTTGGTTTTCTCAGGTGCACAAAATTTCAAGTCTAGGGGCCAGCAGAGTGGCGCAGTGGATTAAGCTGCCACCCGTGACGCCAGCAATCCATATTGGAGCGCCAAGTACCAGCTGCTCTGCTTCTGATCCTGCTCTCTGCTAATGTGTCTGGGAAAGCAGTGAAAGATGGCTGAAGTACTTGGGCCCCGCACCCACATGAAAGACCCTGGTGGAGCTCCAGTCTGCTGGCTTCAGCCTGGCTTAGTCCTGTCATGTGGGAAGTGAACCAGTGGATGTAAGATTTCTTTCTCTCTGTATCTCCCTCTCTCTCTGTTATTCTGCCTTTCAAATAAATAAATCTTAAAAACAACAACAAACCAGTCTAGTTGATCATTTCAAAAGTTGATGGAGTGCTACATGCGAATGCATACTATGTTCTCTGTGTAGATTTAATTCAGATTATACATGGTGGGGGAGTTGCTGGAGAGTCTGTGTCACATAAATGAGCAGGGTGTACAGTAGATCTGAATGTCACCCCATCATCCCAGTCCAGTGACTGCCAATCACTGTTTCAGGAAGTCCTGCCCTCAAGGACAAGATGTTCAGAAGTAAGCCATTTAGGGGCCGGCGCCTTGGCTCACTTGGTTAATCCTCAACCTGCGGTGCCGGCATCCCATATGGGCACTGGGCTCTAGTCCCAGTTGCTCCTCTTCCAGTCCAGCTCTCTGCTGAGGCCCAGGAGAGCAGTGGAGGATGGCCCAAGTGCTTGGGCACTGCACCCGCATGGAAGACCAGGAAGAAGCACCCGGCTTTGGATCAATGCAGCACCGTCCATAGCGGCCATTTGGAGGATGAACCAATGAAAGGAAGACCTATCTGTCTCTCTCTCTCTCTCACTGTCTAACTCTGCCTGTCAAATTAAAAAAAAAAAAAGTAAGCCATTTAGTTTCCATAGGAAAATGACAAGTATGTGGCTAAACTTTCAAGTTGAACACCTAGTTTGTTAGTGCTGCCCTCTCTCTGAGGCAGTCCTGGGCTGGAATTGGGTGCCCACCATAAACGGGAGCACTCATGCGTCAGCCTGTAGGCAACAGTAGGAAGAATTCTCCTTGGGGTCAAGTGAGCAGCTCTTTGTGGATGGACCTTCTCCTCTGGGAACTCAGGGCAGGGGGAGAGGATGGGCAGTGGACACCCATCAGAGCTGCTCCATGCTGTGGGACATGGTCCTGAGCTGAGCCAATTGCTACCATCCTCATTGTGGTCATCAGAGCTCTGCAGTTTATTCTCTCTCCCTCCCTCTGTTTCAGATAAACTCATATAGTGATCAGGCTGATTTTAAAATATTTTGAAAGTATTGCTTTCTTAGGCCAAAGTGACAACTAAAGCCAGAGAACAGAGATGATTAAAAACATTCATTTGAAGGTTGGGCATTAGGTACAGCAGTTAAGCTGCCACTTAGGATACCCACTGCCTATAGCAGAGCACACGGGTGTGAGTCCCAGCTCCACCCTCCATTCCAGCCTCCTGCTAATGTGCACTCTAGGAGGCAGGAAGTGATGGTCCCCGATACTCGTGTGGGAGACCCGGATTGAATTCTGGGCTCCCAGCTTCAGCCTGGCCCTTCATTCATGGCTGTCAAGTACATCTGGAGAGTAAACCAGTAGATAAAGATTTGTCTTTATCTCTCTTTCTCTTTCTACCTTTCATATACATCAGATAAACCACAAAAAAAATCAATCGTGTGAAGAGGCAGAGAAAAGTATTTGAATATCTTGCCTGTGTCTTAAGAGAATATCTGGGGCCGGCGCCGTGGCTCAATAGGCTAATCTTCCACCTTGCAGCGCCGGCACACCGGGTTCTAGTCCCAGTCGGGGCGCCGGATTCTATCCCGGTTGCCCCTCTTCCAGGCCAGCTCTCTGCTGTGGCCCGGGAGTGCAGTGGAGGATGGCCCAAGTGCTTGGGCCCTGCACCCCATGGGAGACCAGGAGAAGCACCTGGCTCCTGCCTTCGGATCAGTGCGATGCGCCGGCCGCAGTGCGCCGGCCGCGGCGGCCGTTGGAGGGTAAACCAATGGCAAAAAGGAAGACCTTTCTCTCTGTCTCTCTCTCTCACTGTTCACTCTGCCTGACAAAAATAAAAAATAAAAATAAAAAATAAAAAAAGAGAATATCTGGTCACTCCACGTTTTCTGACAAATTCAAAAGCAATCGCAGAGAGAGGGACAAAGGGCGTGATGATGATGATGATTATGATGATGCTCTCAATCCAGAAAACAACTCTGCCCCTGTAAGTCTGGGGTGGTGTTTCTGGACTGACTCTCACACGGCACTCTTGACCTCAGACTGAGCTCCCAGAGAAACCTCCAAATCAAAATAATATTAACTTTTAAATAATGCTCTCTCAAATTCTATGGGAGAAAGGAAGAAAAAGAAAAACATGCCTTTTCCACTCCATGCCAAGAGTTTACACTGGAAAAGTGTAGTAGTCTTGGAGGACATAAAAGGACAGTAGCTTGGGTGGTCTAGCCAGAGCCACCTGGTCAGACCTGTCAATCTGTACAGTGGCCAAAGAGTTACAGCAAGGACCAGGGATCAAGGACATTCCAGACCTAACTTCCAGGTGGGGTGTGGGAGGGCAGCCTCAAGGTCAAGTCTATGATCAAAGAAATGGGTCAAAAAATGATCAAAGAAACTTGTATCATATGTAAGCAGATACAAATCAAGCAGTGCAGTAAGACCAGTCACTGATATAAAACTGGATTTTGATTTAATAAAAGCAGACCAAGAAGAACTAACAGGGGCAGGTACCAGATCCACCAGTGGTAGAAATCCTCTTTCCACTTGCTTAAATGTGAAAAAGCAAAGAACTGGCAAATCACAAAAAAGGAGGTATGGTTGGGACCTTATTCCATTATTCTTAATCTGTTCTCTCACGTGAGATCCGCCCCCACCAGATAATTACGTTGGGTAAGACTGAGACCAGAATCTCCAAACACTGCTGTTCCCATAAATGTTAGGTCAAAATTAAGTTGTAGGGATGGGAGGGGGAAAGAGAGCCCTTCTCTAACAACTCATTAAACAAATTAATTCTCTCACTTTGGGGCCGGTGCTGTGGCGCAGCGGGTTAATTCCCAGACCTGAAGCACCAGCATCCCCTATGGGCACAGGTTCTAGTCCCGGCTGCTCCTCTTCTGATCCAGCTCTCTGCCATGGCCTGGGAAAGCAGTACAAGATGGGCCAAGTCCTTGGGCCCCTGCACCCACGTGGGAGACCCAGAGGAATCTCCTGGCTCCTGGCTCCTGGCTTTGGATCGGCACAGCTCCGGCAGTTGTGGCCAACTGGGGAGTGAACCATTGCATGGAAGACCTCTCTCTCTCTCTCTCTCTCTCTGCCTCTCCTCTCTCTGTGTAACTCTGACTTTCAGTTAAATAAATCTTTAAAAAAAATTCTCTCACTCTTCAAGATAAAGCAGGCGAACAGGCACACCTTGGAGTTATCATTGCTTATAATTACTTTATGGTGTTCCTCGGTGCCCATGGGGAATTCCAGGACCCTCCACAGACACTAAGCTCTGAGGATGCTCAAGTCCTGTCTAGAAAATGGCATTTGACTTCCACATATCCTCCTGCATACTTCAAGTCATCTCTAGATACAGGTAATACCTAGTCCAGTGCAAATGTTAGGTAAGTAGGTGTTTACATATTGTTTAGGGAATAATGAAAAAAGTCTGTACACGTTCAGCGCCACAGATGGAATTTTTTTTTTTTTTAAGCTGTATTTTGGCCGGCGCCGCGGCTCACTAGGCTAATCCTCCGCCTAGCGGCGCCGGCACACCAGGTTCTAGTCCTGGTTGGGGCGCCGGATTCTGTCCCGGTTACCCCTCTTCCAGGCCAGCTCTCTGCTGTGGCCAGGGAGTGCAGTGGAGGATGGCCCAGGTGCTTGGGCCCTGCACCCCATGGGAGACCAGGAAAAGCACCTGGCTCCTAGCTCCTGCCATCGGATCAGTGAGGTGCGCTGGCCACGGTGGCCATTGGAGGGTGAACCAACGGCAAAGGAAGACCTTTCTCTCTGTCTGTCTCTCTCACTGTCCACTCTGCCTGTCAAAAAAAAAAATGTATTTTTCCATTCTCAATTAGCTGAATCTGAGGATGCAGAGCCCAGAAATACTGAGAGCTGACCGTACTGTAATTGAACAGAGAAAAAGATGCACTAGAGGGAGAAAAGGGATGACATCTGGGGGTAGAGTAAAAACAGCAAAACGCAACACCACCATCACCACACAACAACCAGCAATGCCTGAGTGTGAGGAGAGGGGCTGCGTTGTGGCGCAGAGGTTTAAGCTGATGCCTGCAACTGCAGCATCCCATGTGGGCGCTGGTTCAAGTCCTGACTGCTCTACTTCTGATCCAGTCCTCTGCTAATGCACCTGGGAAAGCTCAACATGGCCCAAGCACTTGAGCCCCTGCACCCCCATGGATGACCGGGATGGAGTCCCTGGCTCCTAGCTTTGGCCCGGCCCAGCCCTGGCTGTTGTGGCCATTTGGAGAGTGATTCTCCTCTCTCTCTCTCTCTCTCTCTCTCTCTCTCAATCTCTCTCAGTAATGTGTGCTTTCAAATAAATAAATAAATCTTAAAAAAAAAAAAGTGGGGAGAGTCCAGGAGGGACTAGAATTCCTGAGAATAGTGCATTGAGGGGCACAGATTGAAACCCCAGCACACAGGCCCACCCACAAAGAGGCCTGAGCAAGCCCCAGTGGAGGTCACGCAAGCCCAGGCCAGCTCAGTGGGAGGTTCTCGGCTGCAGGTGTGCCCGCCTGCAGCAGAGAGCCCAGCTGGGACGAGCCACACTCACCACCACAGCGGGACACACAGCACCCCCGGCACCGTCAGCGCCAGCAGCAGCATCCGCCAATCTCTGATGAAGTAAGCAAACAGTGGCAGCAGCATGTAGCCCACTGCAAAAAATGTGCACACTCCTAACGTAGAGAATAGAATACGAACTGACTTGCCAAGAATTTCTGTTCCTGTTCAAAACAAGGGAGGAGTATTAGCATTGTAATCCACTTTAATATGTGCTGTTTCTATCACCATCCGGCAGCTGGAGTCCAGACTTCAACCACTGAGGAAAGGGAAAAGGCGTTTGCCTAGGGCCAGGAGCAGCGGCGGTGGTCGGTCAGTGGAGGAAGAGGGGATGACCCCAGGCGGCTCTGAAGGATGAGTTTTCAGGAGATTGCAAAACAAACCAGAGACTTATTTTTTAAGGCCATCCTGAGTCCCAGAAATATTACGCCCACTCTAGGAGGTAGAACCCTTCTGAGAACGCCACCTTTCCGAGATAAGAGCCCAGCGGGAAAGGCAGAGAGCAGTGCGGGACACCAGTGCCATCAGTGCTTCTCTCAGCTGCGCCTCGGCAGACAGGGGACCACCAGGGAACCGGTGATGACTGTATGTAGCTCACAGTTAGTTTCCTCCACCACCTGAGGACACCCCTGCCTGCCCTTGAGTCCTGACAAGTCAACAGGACCCAGCTGGCTGCGCAGGAGCCTGGGGCAGGGCCCCCGGCACGCAGGGCTGGATTCCTGCACGGCCACAGCGTGCCTGGAGGGCAGCCCCAGGCAGACACAAGCTTCAGACCAAGGAAAGAAAGAAGGAGCTGTTCTGCTGCCTCTGCAGCCCATGGCCCCGGAGCGGGCCACATACCCAGGGGGTTCCATAAAGCTTTCCCTGAGCACCTCTGAGGCCCACGACTTTGTGTTGGCAGGTACTGTTCTGACTCTGAAGCAGCTGATGGCTCCTGCTCTGCTCTGCCCAGGGTGAATCCTGGGCTGCCAGCGCCACCCAGATAGGACCTGGCATGCTCGGGGACATGGGCAGGACTCCAGATCTTACCTCATGAAAGATCTTCTTGTGTGCCCTGGCTCCTGAACCTCGGTTAGCTACCACACGGAGGAGGGGAACTGATGGCAGGGCGGGGCGGGGCAGGGGCGTGCTTTATTCCTGAGCAGGGGTTTAGAAGGGAAGTGGCAGAGAAACTGATCATGGCACAGATAAAGCGCAGTCTGGTCGGGTTGCAAAGTCAGGGAGCTCCCACCTACCTTCATAACCCCAGTCACAGAAGAGAAAAGGTTACACACTAGGGCGCCAGGTGACTCTCTAAGCCTGAACCAGAACAACAGTTGTAACCTTGCAGAGTCCACGTAGGGGACAGAAGCTCTGACAGCTGGCCTCTCTGCCTTCTGAGTACCAAGCAAGAGGGATGGAATAAACCTAAACAATTCCTTGCTGCCTCTGCTCCCTGCTCTCTGACTTGCGGGCAGTCACTCTTCCTCAGACACCATTGTCATTGTCGTCGTCATCATCATCATCATCATCATCATCTTCCAGCCTAGCATGTTTTGAGTGTTTTGCCAGGAACCAGGCTAAGGGTTTGCATACATAATCTCCTTGTCTCTTTGTGGCAATTATGTAAGAGCTGATATTATTCCTGTTTTACACATCATCAGTTGAGACTGAAAGAGTTAAAGCCAGTGGCCTGAATTCACTCAACCATAGTAAGTAGTGTAATCTGAACCAGATCTGTTTGAATTATGGATTCTGATCCAGGTCCCAAGCAAAGAGTGCCTGGAGCAGAGCCTCAGCCCTGCAAAGCCATCTTCAGCTGGGGCTCTAGGGGAGACCGATGGGTAGGGAGAACTTGTGTTTTCCCTTCCTGGGCTGGTCCTTGGGCCAGCTGAGGCCCCAGGCCCTCTGAGGGACATCAGGAGAACAGCCTGGATTCCTGCAGATCGTCCCTCAGGGCCGTGGCCTCTGCCTGAATCGGAGTGCTGCCTCCAAGAGGCACGATTCAGAGAAGGCCAGGCTCCCTTCCAGGTAGATCAGGGCCCTTCTGTGTCAGTCAACCGATTCCACATGGCAGGAATGGCCAACAGAGGCTGGCAGGAGACACAGCTCAAGAGGCGAGACAGGGGGCCGGCACTGTGGCATAGTGGGTAAAAGCTGTAAGGCTGGCATCCCATATGGGTGCTGGCTCAAGATCCGGCTGCTCCACTTCTGATTCACCTCTCTGCTATAGCATGGGAAAGCAGGAGGAGAGGGCCCAAGTCCTTGGGCTCCTGCTCCTGAATCGGAGACCTGAAAGAAGCTCCTGGCTCCTGGCCTTGGATAGGCCCAGCTCTGGCCATTGTGGTCATTTGGGGAGTGAACCAGTGGATGGGAGATCTCTCTCTTTCTGCCTTTGCCTTTGCCTCTGCCTCTGCCTCTCTGTCACTCTGCCTTCCATAAAAATAAATAAATCTTGAAAAAAAGAGAGAGAGAGAGATACGATGGTGGTGCCGCTGCCAGGATAGAGATGGGCCCAGTATCCCTGAGCTGGGAATGCCTCCATCAGGCGTGTGGACAGAGCCGGGCTCTTTGGCACCAAAATGCTACCAAGTGGCTTTGTTAAGTCCTACTTCCTAGAGTGACTGTTGTAAAGACTGAGATGGTGGGAAGTGCCTGGCAAGAAGGTAGGCACTCAGGGGTACTTATTCCCTTCCCCCCAAACATCTGCAGTATGCTGCACACCAGGGGGATGAGAGAGACTTCAGAGCACTTGACCACAAGGATGACAGAAGACAGCAGTACTTTGGTGCTCCCAGAAAACACCCAGAATTCCCATCAGATCAGTAGATGTCCCCTGCTCAGGGCTTCCCCACTCTCATCTATAAGCCTGCGCAGAACGCTGGGGTCAAAATGACCTTTCTGGGATGGACGGCTGGAGCAGTGGTTAAGCTGCTTGGGATGCCTGCATCCCATGTCAGAATGTCTGGGTTCAAGTCCTGGCTGTTTCCTATCCCAGCTTCCTGCTAACTTGTCCTGAGGGCGGAAGCGTGATGCTCAACCACTGGGTCCTTGCCATCCACATGGGAAACCTGGACTGGTTTCTGGCTCCTGTCTTCAGCCTTGTGCACTCCCAGCTGTGGGGGACATTTGAATGAACCAGTGGATGGAAGATCTCTCTTTCTGTTTCTGTCTCTGACTCTGTCTTTTGAATAAAACAAAAAATACAGTTATAAAAAGTATACTCAGCAATGTTACCTGCCTCCTATCTGTGACCCACGTCATTAGTAACGACTGCACTGATGATCTTTGTCCTATGGATTTGTAGCCACCTCATCCCTGGCAGGTTTTGATGCAGCTTATATTGAAGTACAGTGAAATAAGGGTAGCACTAAAGTAAAATGTAAAGGAAAGTTAAAAATGTGTGCCCTGGGGGAAGAACCAAACCATGTGGCTGATGACTTTGAAGACAGCGGCCCCTCCTTCCTCTCCTCATCACTACCTGAGCTCTCTCACAGCAGCAAGGCCATGTGAGCACACAGGGAAAACCCAAGGAGAGAGTTCTCAACACACCTGAACTCCATCGGCACCTTAATTCTGGATTTCTATAACTGAGGAAAAATAAGTTTCCATTGCTTCAGTCACCCAGACTGTGGCATTGTTTAAAATGGTATTCCAAGCAGACTAAGACAAAATTATATTTCAATACAGGGCCACTGTTGCCAGGCACCAGGTCAACCTATGATGCTGGCATTCCACATGAGCATGGGTTTGAGTCCTGGCTGCTCCACTTCCCATCCAGCTCCCTGTTAATGTGCCTGGGAAAGCAGACGATGGCCCAAGTGCTTGGACACCTTCCAGCTATGTGGTAGACCAGGATGAAGTTAAAGGCTCCTGGCTTTGGCCTAGCTCAGCACTGTCATAGCCATTTGGGGAGTGAACCAGGAGATAGAAGGTAGCACTCTTTCTTTCCCTGTGTCTCCCTCTCTGTAACTCTCTGCCTTTTAAATATAAAATAAATCTTTTAAAAATTTTGAAAAATGCACAGCTGATAGAAGCTGCTGAATTGACGAAGCTGGATTTCACATTTCTTGCGCTTCCTTGTAGCCAAAGGTATAAGGAAGGTGCCATCGGCTACATTCTTATTAAAAGCAGGAATGTCTTGCTGGTCAGAGGAAGCAAAGCCTTAAATGGCACAGCATGTCCAAAGCAGTGTCACATGGGAGTTGATACTAGGAGCCCCAGGAAACACTGCACTGACTGAAGCATCACCCAGGACAGAGGGCCAGTCACTTTCCATGTAGAATGCATTTCAGCCATTAGTTATGGGGATGGAAGAGCAGACTGGACAAGTTGAGAGCATTTCTGGGAAACAGAGCTGCTGGGGCAGCCACACGGGGGTAGGGCCAGTATCTTTGGTCCTGAGTGCTGATTCCCTCCCTAACCAGTGTCACTCTGGCAGCACCATCACTAGTGTGTCCATTCTATGACACTTTTGGGCAGTTCTGCTGTTTCCTTACAGCTTCTAGCCTCCTGCAACTGGCTGGTTCATTAATTTTAAAAAGTGGCCCAAGGAGGGGACCCATTCTTGCACCGCTTTGAGAATGGGAGTAATCAGACCTTCCAAAATCACTTAAAGACTCCTGAGACAGGATATTCTCACCAAGGGCCTTGCTGGCCCCTTCCTCCCCAGATCCAAGGGCAGAATTGAAGGGACAAACCGAGCTCAGCACAGCCACCACCTCTCAGTTGGCTGCACGCTAAAGATAACCTGAAATCTGGCTATGCTAGCCCTGAGCCACTAGAGGCCGCTGCTGTGCTTCAGGAAAGCCCGCAGCCACCTTATTCTTGCCCTGTGTCTGGCACAGGGGGAGACGGCCACTCCCAGATGGTTTTCAGTGACACTCTCAGACTTTCAGACCCCAGAACCCAACCCAACAAGTCTCAGGCCAGGACACAGAAGTCAGCAGTTTCCCACAGAGCACAAGGGAGTAAAACAACAGCTAGGGAGGTCCCCAGGGCACCTGCCCAATGATAGCTGGCTTCTCACATCTGGGCTATGGTGACCCTCAGCACTGCACATGGGACCACAAGTTGTATGGGGAGCAGAGAGGAGTTGGATGGTAGTATCAGGGACAGAGGAGCAGGCCTTACTTGCAGGAGGCCTGTGTGCACACTCTTTGCTTCCCCCACTCATAACAGGGAGGCCCCAAAGAGAAGGACCTTGCACCTTTGGAGAGGCAGGTCTTAACACTGGCCATTCTGCAGGGCCCGGCACTGCCACAGCCTGGCACAGGAACAGGGCTCTGGGGCCTCACTGTGACTTTCCGCCCTGGCATTCCAGATGCTCCTTCCAGTCCTCCTGTGGTTGGGCCTGCTGGCGTCAGGCACAGTGCTCTCTGGGATGGCTCTAGCACAAGCAGAGCTGCACGCCAGTAGGATCACCGTAAGAAAGATCGGGTCTGGGGACTCAGAACACAAGAACAATGGGCTGTGCCGTGCCTGTTCGCTTTGCTCTGTTCCCGTGGCCAGCAGGTTGCAATTTCTGTCCTAAGTCCTTCCACTTTCCAGTTTCCTGCACCCCCAGCCTGGAGCTCCCTGTGCCCTCTACATAAGGACCTTCTTCCAGAAATCCCTGCTCCCTCTGTCCCCCTGCAGGGATGAGCATGGCCCCTCTTGCTGAGGTCTGCTGAAACGCGTGCCAGCTGTGGGGATTGTGTGGCTTGGGCATGCCCTTCCCACCTCCCCTCTCTGGAGACACTGAGGCTGGACCCAGGGCAAGAATCTTCGCTCCTAATTAAAGAGTGGAATTTGAACAATGCCAGACTGGCAACCTGACAGAGGGTATGCACGTCATTGTCAAGTCATCAGCTAAGTGAATGTGGCATCTCCACGGCCAGTGAGTCATGAGACTCCTAGAAACACACTGAGCCACCTAACCAGGACCAGACGCTAGAGACAAGGGGAACACGTGAGCCTGCATCACAGGGGCACGGTTAGTAACTGCCCTGCAGTGGCAGGGAGCCACTGGGCCGTGTGATCCTACCAGAGAGGCCAGCAGTCGCCATCAAATGCTCCCCTCATCCCCCCTGTGCTCCCCTGCCCCTACAGTGGGCTCGGAGGGCAGTGGGGGACTTCCACTTCTGATCACCTTGCCTGGAGCTCACCTCAGTTTCTCCCAGAAAGAGCTGGTGACGGTCCTGGGGGCCTTCTCAGGGTCTTGTCACTGACTACTCTCCCTCCTGCAGCCTGCCCCATAGTCCCGGCAGCTGCAGTCGGAGACAAGGCCGCTATCAGAGCAGTGAGGCTTGCCTGCAGCAGAGCTGATAGCTAAGGGAGTGAGCTCTGACTCAGGGGGAGACCAGATCTGCCCAAGCATGGCAGGTCATTACCAGACTCCTCCTGTCTGGCATGTGGCTCTCCCAACTGTGTCTTGGGCACATCACCCACCCTGAGTAACTGCATGGGCCCCCAGGCCTGTGACTAGCTGGAGGAGCCTCTGGGTACAGCCTCTCCCCAACACACACTACTGGAAACTGATCAAGCTCCAGAAGCACATGGCGGAGGCCCTCCTCCCCAGCCTTTGAGAAGGTTGGAGGAAGCCAGTCCTACCGAGTATGAAGGCCACCACATAGTTGGAGATCTGGCCCATTCCCACGATGAGAAACAGCACGGTGAACATCTCCCAGCTGATGGAGAAAATCTGCAGGAAGCTGAAGCCAGTCTGCACGGCCATGGTCAAGAAGAGAATGTTCTTCCTGCCAAACCTGGAGACAGAACACAGAACGTGAGAAGTGCAGGGTGTGGCAAGGCTGTGAGTTGGGCGTGGTTCGAGGCCCTGAGTCAGGCAGTGCTGCACACTTGTCTGTTTCCAGGGCTCCGACACATTTTCTCCAGCTCTCTCCTTGGCGAGGTCCCAGGCAGCGTGCCTGTGGGGAGGCATCCTTGAGATTCTAAGCTCCCTGCAAAGGCACGCCATCCTGAAACCCCAGGGCAGCTGCGCAAGCGCCGGGTGGAGGTCCGCTCTTTTGGAGCCGCAGGAGGAAGCTGCCAGCACGTTTCTGGAAAGTGGGTACAGCACAGACTGCCAATGCTTCTTGCAGCAGTGATGTGGGGATTCTGTGAACCCAGAACCAACAGATCCCCAGGACAGTGCCTTTCTTAATGTTGGTTGCAGGGGGTGCAGCTCCCGGTCTGCCCCTTCCTCACCAGGGGAAGCTCTACGGCTCCACAGTGCGCTATGTGGCTAAGCTAGCACTGCAGTAGGCCAGGTGTATCCAAAGCATTGTCAATTACCGTATTTTCAGCCAATGGGCTGAGGAGGATGTAACCCCAGTGACCATGGAGGGCGTCTGCCTCCTGAGATTCTTGCTTGTTGGGGACGTGGTTTAGGTATTGCAGTGAGAGTCACGCATAACCAGAACTGGAAACCACACTTCTAGGGGAAGATGTTTCCAGCAATGGCTGTTGGTGACACGGCAGGGGGTTTAAGTCACATGCCGGTAGTGGCAGCTGGCCGGAATGGAGCACAGGTGTGAGTCGAGCGCCCTCCTGCCCCTTTTTCCAAACTCAGGTGTCAGCCCATTGGCTTGAGGTCCCAAAAGCTGGCGTGGGACAGGCACTGCTCTGGGAAGCCTTCCCCATCACGGTCACTGGGCTCCCACCTCCTGCTCTGGCCACCAGGGAACAGCAGGGGCCACCGCCTCCCGTGTGGCGCAGCTCTGCAGCCCCCAGCAGCCGCGAGTGAACGGCGAGTGCTCACTGTCAGGCCTGATTCCGGGTGACGGCTGCTGGCGGGCTGTGACTGATCAGGGGCCCTCCTTACACCCCCAACCCTCCCACATCCCTACCTGTCGGACAGCTGGCCGGACACGAAGGAGCCGATAAGCACACCCACGAAGAACAGGGAGGTGGTGAGCGGAGTCTTCCAGTCATCCTCGCACACCAGGTTCCACTGCCGGGGAAGACGGCACGGTGAGCCTGGCCCTGCCGCACGTGCCAGCCCCAGCCCAGATGCCAGGGGCAGTGGCCGGCTCAGGGAGGAGGCCTGGACTCCCAGTCCGCCATGCACTGCGGCGACTGACCTGCGGCCCATCCCTGCCCTCCCTGGGGTGCAGCTTCCTCTTCTGAAGGGCGGGTGAGGCCCCTGGTCTGCTTAGGCTGCAGGGAAAGAAGCGAGCTGGGGCCCCGCCTGCGACGGGCCATCCCTCAGCGGCGCTGGTTTCTGACGAGGCCGCCCGCGTGGAGCGGAGGTGTCTGAGAAGCACGAGGGCAGGTGGTGGGCACGGACTCCTGGGCTAGGGGTGACCATTTCCTCTCCCTTGCTGAAAACTGCGAATGATCCCGCTATGGTGTAACTAGTCAAAGTTCTGGCAAGCTGGAACTCCTGTATCCCGGCAAAGATGCTGTCTCTTTAACCGTCGGTTTGACCCGCCCACCTTCCCAGGATGCACTTATCGCAAGCCAGTGCAGAAAGGATGCTAAGACCCCGCCCCGTTTGTCTATCCAATTGGAGTACCGCCTCCTTCCTTATAAAAAGAGGGCTCTTTCCAAGGGGGTCCTCTCCATTGTAGGAAGTTTTCTCTTTCTGTCAATTACGGGCAACCCTTTGGCCCGCTCATGTTGGGTATTTCCCAGTGGGGCAGCCCACTCTCGCACGTGTGTGTTTATGCCCTCACCGCTAAATAAACTCTGTTCTGTGCAATAATATTATATATAATACTATGCAGTGTTATATATATATAATACTATATATAATACTAGCAAATACTAGCCCCCACCTAGTATTTGTCTCTGCGGGAGGCGAGAGCATGGATTTAAGATACGGGCATATTCATAGACCACATCAGTTCCAGGGGCTGTGGGATTTTATTTTCTGAGCAGACTTTTCCGGAAAACCCCGCACTCCCTGGTACACACACACACAGGGAATCAGGGCAAACGGGAAGTGAAGGAGAGGAAGGTTGCAGAAACCAAGCCAGGGGTGACCCTGAGCCCAGGGGCCAGGCGGGGTTCCAGCCCGGCTCTGAGTGTTCAGACTCTCAGCTCTCAGAAGTCCCCAGAGGCGTGAGCTCTTCCTGGAGAAGCAGACTTGCTGAGTCCTGAGACCTGAGAGGCTCTACACACGTCCTGCCCCAAAGAGGCCACTCTGAGGTTAGGAGAATGTCCTGGGACAACAGCAAGATTCTTGCGGCTGCTCTCAGTGCACACGCAATGCAGGCTGCAGATGGCCGCCCAAACACGGCTGTGCAGAAGGAAAACCATGGCTGGGACGCGGCACTCTGCCCCTTGGGCACAGTCCCAGGATGACTCTGAGATGGTGCTGGAGAGAGACTGCTTCACCCACTGCTGTGGCTTATCCCCGCCAGCACTATTGCTGGTATTCAATCCCCATTGTGAGGTAGGATGAGGGTAGAAACTTAATCCAGTGACTATATTTGTGGGTGGGACCATGGGGAGGTGATTCCAGTTGAATGAAGCCACAAGTAGGGCCCTGTGTGGCTTCATAAGAAGAGACGAGGAGGACGGACTCCAGTTAGCAAGCTCTGTCTCCCCGTGGATGGCCTGTGTGGCCTTGGGACACTGCTGAGAGCCCCCTGCCCCCAACCCAACCCCCAAGCAAGAGGGCCCTCAGCAGAGGTAACCACCCTGCCTGGAACGCCTCAACGTTCAGAATCACAAACTGAATACACCTTTATTCTTTATAAATCGCTCAGTCTGCAGTGTTCACTATTAAAGCCACAGAAAATGAACTGAGACACCTGGAGTCCCTGAATGAGCTTCAGGGAAAAGGGGAACGAATCCCCTAAAAATTACACAGCCAGATGCGCGTGCTCTCCCAGCCCACAGATCAGAAGTGGTAGACAGGGGCTTGTATTGGGGTGCAGACAGTTAAGCTGCCACCTGTGATGCCAGCATCCCATATGAATGCTGGTCTGAGTCCTGGCTGCTCTACTTCCAACCCAGGTCCCTGGTAATGTGCCTGGGAAAGCAGCAGCAGATGGCTCAAGTATTTGGGCCCCTGTCACCCATGTGGGAGACTCGAATGGACTTTTTTAGGCTCCTGGCTTTGGCCCAGCCCAGCCCAGCCCAGCCCCTGCTATTGGAGCTATTTGGGAAGTTAATCAGTAGATGGAAGATTCTCTCTCTTTCTCTCTAACTCTGCATTTAAAATAAATAACTCACAGGACATGTGCCTGAATTAATGGCCACCTACCCCAAAAAATAACCAGCCTAAGCTTTAGAAAAGTTCAGGATCTGCCCCTGACACAAAGGGAGATGTGTGATTGAAGCCTCAATGCCTCATGATGTGGAATGTGACCCATTTTTGCAGAATCGAAGCTCTGAGACTGAAATCCTAGCAAGTCAGCTGGCATGCTGGATGCCAGCGTGGGCCTCAGAACCTACCCTTGTCCTGCTTTGGACATGAGCTCCAAAGGCAGGACAAAATGAGCTTCTTGAATAGGATACTCTGCTCTTCTTCCAGGAACGTGAGCCCAGGACCAAGGCAGAAGGCTCTACCACAGCCTCAACTCTGGGCAGAGCCAAGAAAATCTCAAGCTTTGTAGGAGAGCTGACATATCCATCAGCACCCTTCACCATTCCATCTGCAGTGGAGCAGAAAAACTCCAGACACCAGGGTCTTCCAGAAGTCCACGGGAAAATGTGTATTAGGAAAAACTGCATGGAGTCCAATTATTTGCACCAAAACAAACATCTTTCAGTTCCATTTTTTCCACCCACTTTTTGACATGTGTTTTGTGTAATGTGCTCTCCTTTGAGGTTTCTGCAATCTTTCTTTCTTCCTTCCTTCCTTCCGTTCTTTCTTTTCTTTTTTGGTTTTGTGTGTGTGTGTGTGTGTATCGGCATTTTGCCTTAGGGGAGGAGAGAGAGGATTCAGACAGAAAGGAGAGAGGAAGGCTGGCAGGTGTGGAGCTGAGCATTACTTGAGCAACAATGGGGGCAGGACCGGCTCCTAATTTGCAGGCCCAGCGCACCCTGAAAACACACGAGCCCTTGTTCAAAAATTATTTGGAATTTCAAGATGTGAGAAGCTGAGCACTGAAGCCAAATGCAAGGCTGTGTGTGCCGAACTGGATGCGTGTCCACGAACCTGGCCCTGGCAGCGGGTCAGGCCTGGTCTTTGAGGAATGGAGCAGACACAGAGTTTTGAATTACTGTGCTTGGAAAGTGAGGGCCAGCTCCTCGTGGTTCTCCCCTCTGATGTCTGTGCAGTCATGGCTGTCGGTCCCACTTTCCTTGACCAAGAGCCCTGCCAGCGTCATGTAGCTCAGCGAAGGGCAGGCCCAGGCAGGGTTCTGCCAGGGGACACTGCTCGCAACCAGCAGGGGAAGGCAGTCATGGTTGGCTCTGGGACCCAGTTCTCCTCTGGGGAGAGTCACTATGCCCAAAGTGCTTTTTGGAGAGCTGTGAGGGGGCTGGCAACACAGCATAGGAGGCCCATGAAGTTTTAGTTAGAGTTCCTGGGGCTGGAGTCCAGTAAACCAGCTGCCAGGCCAAATAGAAGCCCTTTCCTCCAATGGGCTGTTGTTGAGGAGGCCAGACGTTACCTCTCACAGCCCCTTGGGGCTCGAGGAGTGTGTCCTGGGGTCCCACTAGTCAGGGCTCAGAGAACTCCCTGTGGTTCGTAGTGACCGGGCCTACTCCCTGTAGATGCGGTGAGAGTGTTGCTTTCGTTTGATGGGACAGAATTGCCCCAGTGGGTCCCGGCACACGTATGCACACACTTGCAGCAGGCACATGGCCAGCTCAGTGGCTAATGGTGGATATCCTGGTGAGGAACTCACTGGCATCATGCCAGGGGCTGTGCTTTCAAGCCAAGCACCAACATTTCCAAAATCCAACCTGCCCTCCACCTCTGAACAGAGAGTGGAATAGCCAAGCCTTCAGCTTTGCTTGAAGAAACCCAACTTCAGGTCACACAACAATAGGAGGTTGGGCGGTCACTCTTGGCATACAAGGATGTGCCTCTCATGATCTCAGCAGTAACAGTCATAGGATTGACAACCCCATTGAGTGCTTACTGGGAATCTTGTATTATCCCTGGGGACCTCAAAGTTGCCACGAGACACAGGCACTCTTTTCATGGTCATTTATTTTTATTTTTATTTTTTTGACAGGCAGAGTTAGAGAATGGCCGCCGCGGCTGGTGCGCTGCAGCAGGCGCACTGCACTGATCCGAAGGCAGGAGCCAGGTGCTCCCTCCTGGTCTCCCATGCGGGTGCAGGGCCCAAGCACTTGGGCCATCCTCCACTGCACTCTCTGGCCACAGCAGAGAGCTGGCCTGGAAGAGGAGCAACCGGGACAGAACCGGTGCCCCGACCGGGACGAAAACCCGGAGTGCCGGCGCCACAGGCGGAGGATTAGCCAAGAGAGCCATGGCGCCAGGCTAAAGTAGGACATTTCTTACAACAAAGTATGAAATCCTTTTATAAAGACTTTAATCTTAGAAATGACTATGAATGAAAAATTAGCAACGGTCCGCTTATTCTTCATTCTAGGGGGGAAGTAAGAAGTAATAATTAGTTAACAATACATGAAGAACTTATATCTACCCCAGCTCCTTATTTATAGATTGATTGTAGCTAGACCACCTGCAAAAGCAAAATAAAAACAAAAACAAAAAACCCTGGCTATTTAACTTGTTTTGTTTGTAACAGATTTATACACTATAAAATTCACTCTTGCAAAGTGTAAAATTCAGTATTTTTTTTATTATATTCACAGAGTTTGGCAACCTCAGCCTTCTCTAATTTCAGAACATTTTTCTCACCCCTGAAAAGAATCTCACTCATTAGCACTCACGCCCATTCTCTTTTTCCCTCAGCCCGCGGGGTCCGCAAGCCGACTTTGTGTCTCTATGGTTTTCCTGTTCTGGACACTTCATATAAATGGGGCATTCAGTAGGTAAGCTTTTGGGCCCGGCTTCTTTCA